CTAACCGACTGAATTAAGTAAGAGAAATTGCGTAACCTGTTCTCCTGCTGGTTTTGATCATGAGTTTTGAACATTTTGGTTCAGGTCGTAATTTGTTCGTTCGAAAAGTTTTTGTTGCTATAGCCACCGTGCGATGACGTGTCAGTCTTTTGTATTTCTACGGATTGTTCTAGAATTTTTTCGTTTTGGTTGAGCTCTTATCATCCTTTAGTCGACAGTTCAAACAGTCGAGAGCTTTATGAAAAATTTATTTTATTGTGACTACAATTTTTTATCCAATTCAGGTTTCGGCCAGGGTCTTAATTTGGTTCTCATGAAAGATAAACTAAACAACTATATCCTTCCCTGGAATGTGTTCTTTTTTAAACTGGCTTATTTTTAATCTACATACCCACCAGGTTAACTGGGATTTGTAGGTTTTATTTGAGTCAGTTCCATCTAAGATCGAAATAAAGCTGTGTTTTCTGTTGCAGTTATGAACTCTTTACCTTGTAGGTATTGTTTAATTTGGTCGACCGATCACACGACTGCAAACATTTCCAATTCATTTATGGAATATTTCTTTTCGGGAGTGTTCAAACATCGAAAAGCATACGAGATTGGCATTCATCCTTGCCGTTGTTTTTTTTGCTCCAGAGTCGCTTCTACTCTCTGTGATTCACGTTTAACCCGAGTATCTTTTGATGGGCTTTTCTAATATCTTCAAACACAACTGAGTGTTTTCCACCATTCAAACTTGTTAGCTGTCAACTGGATTTTTTTTTCGTTCTTTTTCCTTATTCGGGGTAAGAGTTTGTCTGTTAAACATGCCGAATTTGTGATTGATCCTGCCCATAAGCGATCTAAGTTGTTTTAGTCACCTTTAAGGACATAGTTTCAAAGTTACTTCAGTTTTTGTAGTTTTTGCTATCACTCCTTTATCTGATAGATTATGCCGCAGCCAATTCACCGCACTTTTAAAAACTCAAGTTTCGATATTTTCAACGCTAAGATGTTTTTGTCCAGTTTTTTTTGAACGTTTGTTCTAAATTTTTGTTTTCTGAATCTTTACCCTTTGAGACAATTAGACCCAATTTTTAGACAAAATCTTTTGAGACCCAATTTGTATAAAGCGGTTAAAAAAATTGGTCTAAAATTTAAACTAACTTGGTTCAACATTGATTAAGTCTGACCGTCAAAAAGAACAATTTGTCTCCAGGACTATCACCGGTTGTTTTGGCTAGCTTGCGCCAATATATCATTCAAGTTTGAACCGAAAAGTTAATGTTATGATTGCGATTTATAGCAGTTTTTGGTTAGTTGCTGGGTTAACGACTGTATATATGAACATACTAGTTAAGCTTTATTGTCCGAGGCATTTTAATTAGTTTACGGAGATTGAGCGCACATTCTTGCAAAAACTTTTTCAAAGTCAATGCAAAAAAATTGAAGTAGAAAGAAACTGGATTATATTGATAATTATGGATTATTAAAGTCGTTTACATAAAATCTTATTAGACGACCTGACTCATATTTTTTTTCATGTGCGAGGAACTATTTAAATTTCCGAAAAATATACATATGTTTTTTGCAACCAAGATTTTTTCATGTTATCATCAACGTAGTGATTACCAAAAAAGCCCATTGACTACTATTTTTCATTGACTACTATTTTTCTCTCCAAAACTCCTTTAGCTGCGAATGTTATCTTGCAGATTTTTCAAAAGTTCTCAATAAATCTTTTTGAGAATTTAAAAGATAGCTTCAAAATTTTGCTTCTATCTTGAATGCAAAGCATGTACGGCAGAAGACTTGTACTAAGATAATGCTCAATCCTTATTTTAACTTCAACTGCTGAAGTAATGGAGCAGCAAAACGTTGACATATTTGCAATGGTCAATCAAACTTGAGTTTAATCTGTTAAATACATCGAAGTTTGTATAACAATTGCAAATATGTCAACGTTTTGATGGTTTCATCTCCGACAGACCTGTTGAAAGGCGCCGAGAAATTTCTAATCGACAACTCAACTAGGATGACAAAGGTTACTATCTTAGTTTATACAGTGATATCAAGTCCTCAAATACTAGGAATTATTTTTTCAAAATATCGCTTCTTGGACTTTGCTTAAGATCATAGTCTCCAAGTCTGCGACATTAGTGACTATCGCAAACATCGGCGTGACTTTGAATCACTAGCAATAAGTCTCGGACCTCGACTCTGGCAGTTGGCTGTTCGAAAGAAATTTTCTTCTTTTTTCAGTAATTGTATATCAAAAAACTACGAAAAAATTTGCACGAACAATTTTTAAAAGTTCGTCAATACTTTTACGGAATGCAATTTACTAAAACTTTTTTGGATATATTTTTTTGCAGAATGAGACGTTTTTAAATTCAGTTTTAAGCAACGGGAATTTTTCGTCTCTCAAAAAGTACCGCTTTTTTGGAATTGGTATTCTAAATTTTATAGAATTCGGCAAAACGAATTTTATTTTAATCAGATAAAAATCAAGGGTTAAGCGCCGAATGCTAAAACAGCCGAAACTTGTTTGTATTAAATTTATTTCAACTTTCGAGACAACTGAAGGCGGAACTGGAGTGTCACAGCTGATTTCCGGGCAGTAGTGTCGGTGTAGCGTTGTAAATTCATGTAACTGTTCTTAATATGGGATTTTGATGGCTCATTCGTAGTGATTGTGGATCCATATCGCACTTGCGCTGCAGTTTGCAAAGATGAGCTCTTGCAAGTAAGTCATAGCTTAATGAGCGCTTATACACCAGCGGATTTAGAGGAAGGGTAGGTGGGTGGACGCCCCCCTTCTTAGGGATTCGACCCTGCCGACCCAAAGGGTCCCTCCTTTGAACTAATTAAAGATAATCATTTTCGGCTGGCGGAACCTTAAATTTTTCCTAAAAGTATACTAAAAACTGAAGGGACATAGCGCGCGCCAAAATAACCCAATTTTTAGGTCAAAAACTTTCCAAAAAGTGCCTAAAACACCTTTTTTTGGCCTGTTTTTTCAACATTTCGCAATCGGCCCAGAAATTTGTTGAAAAACCTCCCTCGAGAAAAACCTAGATCTGCTCCAGGTTGTATATATGCGCTGTTGTCAATCTATATAGCTTACATCAAATTGCTTCCCGGGTTGACCTCCATAGACCGAAAATGCTAATCATACAACTCCATAATCTAAGATTATGAAAAAATACTAGTCATACAAATTTCATACATTTTGCTAAAATGGTGTCGTCCTAGTTTCAAAAAACTTTTCTCTTGTTTTGGCATAAAATTCGGTGTATCGTACTACATAAAAAAGAAAAACTTTTGTCAAAAAAAATGCTAATCATACAATTTCTATATATGGAAAGTGTATGACTAGCATTTTTTTGATGGCGACGACAAAATTTTTTTGTGTTATTTTTCAAGCGCAAATTGGTTTTCCTACTCAAAACAAACATTTTTTGAAAAAAAAACATTGCATGCAAAATTTAATTTTTTGTGGGGTATAACGTAGTCCTGGATTTACTAATATTGGATTTTTTTCCTTTTCTCTTCATAAATTTTTTCAAAAACGCTTAAAACTCCTCTTTTTTTGTATGACATGTTTTTCTGTGCCTTGATCAATGTCTGGTAATTTAAAAATTCAAACTGTAGAAATAATCATCTTTGAAAATTTTTGCCAAAATTTAAAAATTCGTTACTTTCGTTATATTATTTGTGTGAGACAAATTTAAAACGTTTCAGGCTGTTTCCAATGCATTTTTAATGCGAGAAGGCCAAACCTTTGGTAACTACGTTTGAGTAACCAAGGTTTATGTCATTTGTGTTTGGTTAAGAACACAACCAAAAAATTTTGAGAAATTAAAATGTAAATAAATCAATATTTTTGGTTTATGGAAATTTGCTAGTCATACAATTTCCATATATGAAAAAAAACTAATCATATACCTTTCATGCATCCTTCTGTACTTATGGAATTGCATGTATGATTAGCATTTTTCCATATATGAAAATTATATGACTAGCATTTTTTGTCAACCCGGGTTCTTAGAGTTAAAATATGCCGAATTTATTGAAATCTAGTTTAGTGAGCTGTTGTCAAGCGAAATAAATAAACGCCGGTTTATACCTCTGACAGGCTGCCTAAGAACAGTGTAACTGCCTTCAAACAATTTCTAATTTATTATCTTACAAAATTAATTATTAAACAAATTGAGGCTCTTTTTCCTCGCCCCACCCATGGACATTTTTAAAAATTGATCTTGTGTGTTCACATCGATTGTTACGAAAATTTGCCAGGCAACAAACTAGACCATGGCTCCTCGTAATGAACCTTGCTTGCGATTTATGTGATATTTGTGTGAGTTGGGGGGGGGGGGGTAATAAAAAGCCTAAATTTAAATTTATCAATTAAACAAACTTAGTTTATATTCTCATAACATTATTGTTCCGACTTTCGATACGAAAGTAACGGAATGTTTGTGCTCGGGGTGGGTTTTTTTTTCTTCAGACAAAATTCGACTTCTTAACTAGCCATTTTTGACAAATATTTTTCATATCATTCGAAAGGTATTGTTGTCCTGAGCTCAAAGTTGAACAGATATTTCACCTGTGATCATTTTTCGTAAAGTTATGGGGGTTTAAAAATGACCATTTTGGCCAATTTGGGACAATTAACGCGCGATATATTTCGCGCTATTAACGCGTAAGCGGAGAGTTAATCCGTCTTAGAAATCGTTCCAAAATGGTTGAAAGAAGCTTATTTGCAATAATTGATTTGTTACAAGGAGCAAAATTTATTCTTTTGTACTTTATATGACGTGTGGGGGATGATTTTCATTTAAAAAAATCAAATTTTAGAAAAAATTTTTCATATTTTTCTATTTCATTTAATTTTTTAATATTATTACTGCTCCAAAAACCTTTAAAGGCAGTCGGAACGTTCAGGGCTTCGCCCTGATACGAGCAGTCTTGTTTATACATTATTTATATAAAAAGTTGATATTCTTATATTATTTCAGCCATCTATCGCAGCCTGTTTGCTTTCCAACTGATGCCCTTCAAGGGTTTCATGGGAGCCCTCCTTCTCCCCGTCGGGGGGTTCACTCTGGGTGCAATTGGGGCGGCATGCATGGGATTGAGAGTGTCTCAGATAAAAACCATCGCGCTAGAAGTCGGTTGGTATAAATCTACAAATCTACTCTATCTAATCTATAATTAAATTGCCATCTAAGTTAGCTGGAAGTTGAGCCAATTTAGAAGCTGAGTATGCCCAGGGAAAAAACTCAGCAAAATTTTAATCCTTGAGTCAAATAAAAACAATAAACTATTGGGCAATATATTTGGAAAGTGTTAAAACTTCCAGCTATAGTCCAAACAACTTATAACTAAAGTCAAATGATTATTCACTAGTTTGATAGAATTCAGCTCGAAAAATCGTCATTTTTTTCACCAAAAAATATCTTTTTACCGCAGGATATTTATAATTGTCCGAATTTGAGAAAATAAGTTTTCGTCTAAATGATTGTTTTTCAGGCATGCAAAATGCAGGAATCGTGATCAGCATGACTCTCGTAGTGTTCAGCCAGCCGAAAGCCGATCTGAATTCCATAATGCCGATTTGTATAGCTCTCATGACGGCTGTAATCTCCACGCCGTTTTACGTAATTCATTATTTGGTGTACAAGTACAACAAAAGTTATCGTGCAGTTTGTGATGGCAATAAAGAAGCGCAATTGATGGAACGTGAAATGTTTGAGAAAAACGTGATGAAAAGTTCATTTGAGAACGAAGACGACGACGAAGAAATGTGTCAAAAAAGCGAAACTGAAGAAAAAACGATCGAGGCTCAGTTTTAAATATCATTCTAAAGTATAATAAATCAAAACTTCATCACTAAAAAATTCAAATGTGATTTTTTTTGTGAAAGAGCGAACAGGTAGATTGTTGAGTTCAGAGCAATTTTGATTTATTTAGCAAGTAAAAAATAGCACAATAGGAAAAATTCAATGATGTCATTAACAGGGAAGAATAAAAACTTTCAGGCGCAGATCTAGGATTCTCTAGATAGAGGAAAAAAATTTGCTAAAACTGGTTTAGATTTTTGCCTATTTTTGCTCAGTGTGACCAAACTTGTTTTCGAGGTTTCGCTAGTCAAAAGAAAAGTTTTGTTCCAGAACAATTATCGGCGCCGTTGGCGAATATACAAAGAAAACAGGCCGAAAAAAAGCGACGTTTCAGGAAATTTTTGGAAGTTTCTAAACAGAAAATCATATATGCGTCCATTGTCCTAAAAAACAATGTTTAACTTTGTAATAAATTTTTTTCCGGCCTGGGTCAATTTCTTGAATGGGGCTTCTCAGTTTCATTAAATATTTTTCATCATAAATTTTTGGATAATTACATTCTAGGAAACACGGTTTTACTGGGCATGCATTTTGAGACATTTTATTGATCAATAAGTACAACTTGTTTCTGTTGGTTTTTAGGTTATGGGTAGAAAAGACTACCCGAGAAAACAAAAAAAAATAATATTAATTTTTTTCTACATAGAGAATGGTTTAAAAGTGCGAACAAAGAGGCTTTAATAAATGTTTACCGATGGAAGGTCCATTGCATTGGATCGAAGAATTTAACTACTTTTCTTGTTCTCCGCTTAATGAGACTCCTGAAAACGGGCCATGTTGGCTTAATTGTGTTCTCCCAAACGATTCTAATTTATATTTATAAATTTTTATAAATGACTTTGTAACTAGATATCGTTTGGAAACAATTTATTATATTATTATCATTTTATTATTATAGAAGCGCAAATGGCGCGTAAAATAAAACTTTTTTTGAATAATTCGGCAAAAAATGGATGTTGTGGAATCGTACCATATAGGGACCATTTGGACGGCCAGTTTCAAAGTTTCAATATAAAGTTAGAAAAGAAACACTTAACTTCGCAAAACTTTACCACGCTCCAGAAGCGGATTTAGAGGGTACGGGGCGCGGAGGTGGATTCCTTTTCCCCATCAGAGATTTGACTACCTCAACCAAAGGGTCACCCTTTTTGTACACTCTTTTGACATCCCCATTTTAGGCTGACTATCCCTAAAATTTGGCGCCATTATATACTAATTATGAAAGGGAACGCGCGCCGGAAAAAAACGCAACTTTTTGATGATTCTTTCCAAAAAGTGCCCAACAAAAGTATTTGACAATCTGCCCCCCCCCCCCTTATCGAGAACATCCTAGATCGATCACTGCCCTGCACTTAATGTAAAGTAAAAATCGAATTTGAAACCTCCGCGAGCACAATATTTGTGACAATAAACGACTTTTTTATTTGTTTGGTTCTCTTTTTCACTTCATTCCGACTTTTATATGAAGTCATCTCATTTTTTTCTACAAAATAGTTATTTCATTATAGCTGTTAAAATATTTTGTCATCAAAAAACTGACATACCTTCATATATTTTAACACTGTTTGGTTTACAAATACCAAACTGGGCGAGGAAACGTTTTCAATAGATTAAAAAACCTCTTGTTTTCAATAGATGGGAAGACCATCATGAATATGATTTCCCAATATAATCACTGGGTGAAATTTCATACTTCGTTGTGATCTTCCTTACAAAACCTTCGGATGAGGGGGTAGTAGGGTAACGCACTGGGTTGGTGTTTCTTGTCTTTTTAGTAGGTGGCGATGCGATGACCTCTTGTTATTCTGTACCTCATTCTGGGGGGAAAGGTGTAAATCCGTACCTCACTCTGGGGAATGGGATGCAATTCCGATCCTCATTTATACAATAATTTTGCTGAGGAGGTGAAGTTTTTAACCATGTTGTTCAATCATGAACACCATGGCGGTCACCCGAATCAGCAATGGGTTTAGGGTGAACATGTTTGAGCCTATAATAGCGGTTTGGTTAATCCCTAAAGTGATCTTTACTTCACATGACTTTGCTATACGATCGGGACTAAATTTTTCACGCGGTCAAGCGGCCAGTTTCCACTTGGAGGATTCTACTTGAAACTTAAAGGTACACCAACGTGAATATTACTTTTTCTCTGATTTGGAAGCCTTTAATAAGTCTTCAAAAAGAACGGTCCTTTTTCGATTTCTTTGTAATCATTGAATTTCTTCTATCTGTCTGCTGGCTGGATGAAAAAAAAATCATTTTTAGTTTGAAGGAACTACTGGTTTCTCTCAAAAACGTTAAAAAAAAGTTTATAATTTTTTAGCTTTCATGGTTTTTTTTGGTTTTTACATTACGAAAAAAAAAGACAAGAAACGAAGTTAACTTGCAAATTTTTGCATCAGAAGCGCAATTTTTATCATTTCTTTTCAGAAAAAAACGCAATTTAAGAAAAAAATTTTGTCTTCTTTTCCTAAAAAGAAATATTTGGGTGCTTCCTTATTAGCTTTTTCATGTTAAGAACAACATATTTGCAACAGATATTTGGGAAAAAATGTTTTTCAAGAATCGGTTCTGTGCTATAATAGCTGTATCATTTTCGAAAAATTCTATTGGGATAATCCGAACAAGCGTACACGTAATTTATCATTGAGTTTATATGTAAAATGCGGCAAAAAAGCAAGGCCTAAAAAACGTTGCGGTTGCGCGCAAATTTTTTGTCATTGAAGAAAACCTTGTTACATCAAGGGCTTGTTTCAAAGTAGCTGCGCTTTCATTGAGATTGTCGATTCGCCTGAGGTAAAAAGTCCACAGTTCTTTGTCGAGTGGAATGATATCTGGTGGTTTCAACCACCTCTTTTTTTTACTTTTGGGGATAAAGATCACGGTTTATATAGTTGACAGGGTTAAATTTACCCGTATAAGCTTCCAGTTTTCAGTAATGGCTTTCTCTTGAAGTTCATGCACGTAGTTATCACCACATGTTGAAAAGCAATTCAGAAGTTGTAATACAGCCGAGTAGGGCAGTGCTGTCACATCCCAAAAACTAATTTCTTGGTTTTTGTGGCTTGTTGGCTGACGACAAATGGACCTAAGCGAGCTCAGAGTACAGTTTAAGTATACTTATCTGTTTTATCGGCGCAGCATGGGCCCGATTTATCAGAAACGAACACAGATTTTGAAATTCATCCCAAACACGGAAGTAGATCACTGCGCCATAAGCAACTTGTGAGGTGTAGGCAAAGACGTGTAATTGATAAAACATTCGGTGAGAAGGAGATTTAACACTGAAATAGTTTAATGCTCCAATGAAGGGAGAAGCTTCATACTTGTCAATCCAAACGTGATTTTCTTTTTTTTTGTTATTCAGAAGCAAGTCATCCTATGCAAGTTTTTTCCAAACATCTAGAAAAATAATCCTCAATGTTATCACTAACGATGCGGTGATACTATAAGGGTTGAATAAACCAGCGATCATTGACAGAAAGTTTTGTGTAGTTTATTTATTACCTGCAGTATGCAACCTTGAAAGTTTTGGGTGCATGAAGAAATTCTTGTTTTTTTCCACAAAACTCCAAGGTCACCATAGTTTGATTCGTCTGTGTTACACTTATAAACTATATCAGTAAAGATATTTGGATTATTAGAAACAAACTTTATCAAGTTAAATTCGTTTTTTGAGATGGTAGATTTAGAAAACTGTAATTAAATGACTGCAATTTTGAAATGCTGAACGAGTGCACAAAATCGTCCATGCAGTTGCTTTTATCAATTCTTTGCTTCATTTCTTCAGTCGGTGCAAAGTCATTAGCTGTTTGCTATAAAACGAAAAAAGCTTCTCATGGCAAGCACTTCGCTCCTTATATCTGCCGTAAATTTATAACTTTTTTGTGGTCGATTCTTCACCATGATAACAATTGCATGAACATGGCTTCTACGTGGGCTGTTACAACATGAGGGTGCTTGCGAGACCGTAGGACTAAACCATTCAAATTGGTGACACGATCAGTTCCGTTAAGCGATAGTTGTTGACTGAGCTTCCTTTGAACATTGATTCTGCTTTGGACACTTCAAATTTTTTCCAACTTGTTTGCGTTTGAGGCGGTATGATTTGTAAGCTAAATTAATCTTTTTCTTGGTGGGTGCTGAAAACGACACTTTTTATGTAGGTTTTTCAAGGTCTTTTTCCAATTGTTTATAGAAAGTTAGAAGATGTGCTTTAGCCGAATGGTAATTTTTGGGTAAGCTAACCTTATCCTTATACAAAAGACCAATTTCACAATTGTCACCTATATGCTGTTTGGTTTCATGGAGAGTTTTTTATTTTGTTTTTCACTAGCAGAAGAAATTTAGGGTGCTCGCTTATAGATCCCGCGGACTCTACAGACCAAAAACTTCTAATAAAACTTGTAATAGATGTTGTATATTTTGTTAAATTCCTACAAAAGTTCACTCGTCATTCAGGATTGCTGAGGTCATTTATTTGACGAATGCTCAGAGTAAACGCGAAAGAAAGCCTTTTTTCTCGGTATCATTGTGTCGTTGCTTCTTGATAGACCCTGTAATAGTCCAACCTAGAATGTTCCGTATCGCAAAAGGTGTACTAAAAGGCCCTTTCAAAAATTCTTGCTCGATGATGTACTGGATTACATCAATGCCTAGAAGAACTTGGGTTCTGCTGCTTATTAATAGGGGATTTCGACCTGCTGTAGATGAAAGTACATTGCACAGATTTGGTTGATATAGAAGCGTCATTGAAAAGCCGGACTTCAAAGGAGTAAACGTAATTCAATCGAAACTAAATTTTGCTGCTATTGCAATGTCCTACGTGTATATGGACTAGTTTTGCGTTTACTGATGAGTCCACAAAATCTATTGCTACAGCAACGCTTCTATGTCTTAATTTTCTCTGCTGCTGTATATGATTAAGTGCTGCAGTTGTCTAATGACGCAAATTACAGGTGGGATATTTGGGACCCAACAGCTTTAATGGAAATAAGAGCATTTGATTTTCTATTTTGGAGGGAAACGCCGGTTCATCTGCT